GTGCCTGGGATCTCGGAATGTGGAAGTTGAGGGAGAAGAAAGAAGGGCTATTTGTCAGGGGAGAATTTAGGGAGCTTTTAGCAATGCCAAGACATGCAGGGCCCTGTTACCTGGTGGGAATCTGTCAGAAGAGGGGGTTGGTGCGAGGTTGTTGAAGGAAGTTACAGCCATTGAGTGCCCGGTGCCTATGTGGTCAACACATGATGTCATAGCTGCAGTGAGTCCTTGTCAACACTGTGGTTTGTACTTGACCAGCTAAAGCATGGAAATTGAAGTACAAGACTTTAGGGACTGCGTTCCAAAGTAGAGAATGGAAAAGCAAGGCCACTTCTAATAAGGTATCATCTCATGTAGTAAGTGGTGGCACATGGGCTACTCGTTGGGCTGCTAACTAACTGGAAGGTCAGCAGTTCCAACCTAGCAGCCGCTGTGCAGGAGGACGATGAGGCTGTCTTCTTCTATAAAGATGGCCAGCCTCTGAAAACCACAGAGGCAGTTCCACTCAGTCCCATCGGGCCGCTGTGCCTCGAATCGACTTAATGTTATTGGACATTGGGATTAAGATGTATAATTGTTATTTTTATTAAAGCTGATTTGCTATAGTCTGATAGGAAAGGTAAGAAATAATACTATCTATTCATGTTTGTTCCCTCTCCCCAATGTTTCCGTAGGCACGCATATTCAATGAAACGCCCATCAATCCAAGAAGATGTTTGCATATTCTTACCAAGATACTTTACTTACTGAACCAGGTAAATTGTTTTCCATTTTCCTTGTTTGTGTCCTGAAATAGAAGGACGCAGCATGTACTGAAGTCCTTTCTGAAAGTGTGATTATTCGCTAAGAAGATGCAAAACTTCTCGAAGGCAGGGACTAGACTATGTACTTGTTTTGTAGTGATGAAGTACCAGCCCAACTAAAGACACTCGCTGGTGCTTAGTAAAGGCCTATTGAGCAACCTCACCCCCCCCAAAACAAACAAACAAACAAACAAACAAACAAACAAAACCCAAACCAAAAACAGGCCTTGCTGCTATGAAGCCAATTTGGATGCATCATGACCCTATCGGATGGGCTGTAATCTGGATGGAAGCCAATAGCCACAGCTTTCTTGCACAGAGCTGCTTGTGGGTTCTAACCGCCAACCTTTTAGTTGGCCGCTGAGCATTTAACCCCTGCACCACCAGGGCTCTTTTGAGGCGCTCTGGGGAGCCCAGGTGATGTAGTTGTTACATGCTGGGCTGTGATCCATGTGGTTGGCAGTTCGAAACCACTAGCAGCTCCAAGGGAGAAAGACTGGGCTTTCTATCCCCTTAAACAGTTACCATCTCGTAAATTCACAGGGGTCCCTGGGAGTCAGCCTTGACTCGATGGCAGTGAGTTTGGGGTGTAGTGGCTTAGGTGTTGGGCTACTGACCCCAAGGTTAGTGGTTCAAGCACAACAGCTGAACCTTTCTGTTCCTGTAAAGATTTTCAGCCTCAAAAACCCACAGGGCCAGTTCTCCTCTGTCCTACAGGTCCCTGTGAGCAGGAATCTACTCCAGGCTGTGAGTGTGGTTGTGGGAGTTTAAATTATTAGCATCTGTGCTTACGTTGCTTCCAAGGTCTTGACGTCCCTCACAAAGCACACAGAGTGCAAACTCCTCGAGAAGCTCCATGTAAATGCTTTCCCTGTTTAGGGGAGAAGGAGGGCATGACCCGCCATTTCTCTCATTGCCATCCAGTCGACGCCGAGGGTTAGTTTCTGTGACTGTAACTCTGGGATCAGAAAACCCCATCTTCCTCTGAATAGATGAGGACAGTGTTTTAAGTATTCAGAATAGCAGTATGTTAATGGGCAGGCCACTTTGCTGTCACATGTCATCGTTTCCTTGTCTACACAGGCATGATGGGAATACCTGTTCTTAAAGGGTAATGATTACATGAGAGTGTGTGTCTATGTGAAGGCTTAGAGAAGCGTGCTGGACACATAGGGTGCCTTCAGAAGTCGTTTGATCCAGTCATTTAGCAGACCTTTGCTGCACACCCACTGGGGTCTCGCCACTCTTCTCGGTCCCTGAGGACACGGACCAACAAAATCAACAAGAATGTTTGCTCTCATAGCACCTAGATTTTGCTTGCTCTTGTTGTTACTGTTTTTCTCTTTCAGAGTAAAAATCTGTTGAGTTTCTGGGGCTTTAGAAAAATATAATTTTCCTTCTCAGATTTTTGTAAATGTAAATATACATATATAGGTATGTGTGTGTATGTTTAAAATATGTGTTTAAACACGCTGCCACTGCATGTGTGTGCCTGTATGTCTGTTTGCATATGTATGTATACGTACATGT